GTTAGATTCTCTCTTGAGAGCTCTAATAATACACCTTTTATGTTCGTCAACATACTTGCCATTTGGTTTATAATTAATTATCTCATTATATCCTTCTGTTCCTCTAGAATGTGAGTTTTTTAAAGGAAGGGATGTGTATAATTCATCTTTATATTATATTCCCAGAACCTAACACCACGTATGATGACTAAACGATGACCCATAAATGCTTGTTACAAGTGAGAACAGGGAAAGTGGAGGACAGAGTTTGTTTTTTCCAAATAATATAATCAAAACATATGCATACCAGGTACCACCTGAATTTAAATAGTTGTTGAGTAGGAAGTGAATAATCTTGCATCTTTTTAACCAATTGTTTGAAATAGTGAATTTTAAGAATCTCATAAGAAATTTGGGCAAAACTTACATTGCATCTGTCGTGATAAATTGCATAAACTTCAGCTACATTTTGAAATATTTACTATTAAGGATGATTAATTTTGGCCTTACTTTTTCAATAGGAGATAACAAATCTTAAGGATGCCAAACAGCTTTTGATTCAGCAGAAATTAGAACTTCAAGGAAAAGTAGATTCCCTGAAGGCAACACTAGAACAGGAGAAGAGAAACCAGCAGATGCTAAAAGAGCAGGTGAAAAAGGAAGAAGATGAGCTGAAGAAAGAATTTATGGAGAAAGAAGCTAAACTGGTCAGTAAGTCAATAGTGGGAAGTGTGTTTTGTAATGGAGATTTAAATCAATCCAGTGAGAGGATTTTTTTCTACTTAGAAGTTATGATTGAAATGCTTGCCTAACATTTTAGTTTCTGGTTAAGAAAGGACATCTAATTTGTTTAAATAGTTGACATCTGATTGGAAATATTTTCCTATGTAGTCATATTTTGGCTTATATAAATGAAAATCCAATTGAAATATAATTTTCAAAAACCATTTTTTAGTGCCGGAAAGAAATAAACCCACAACTATGTAGATTGAGGTAAATGATGTGAGTGCCAGTTATGTTAAACTCATTTGTTTGGTCAAAGTGAGTGTTGATAAGGGGGAACGGAAACTGCAGTTTGGAATTGTGATGACCAGTGTCTGCTTTTCCTTCCCTAAGTTGCGTATGCCAAATGGGAAGCATCTGGCTTTCCTCTATTGAATTAAGTCCAAATATCCCCAGATAACTTGACCACTACATGTTTTAGCTGAAGAGTTGCAATTTCAAGAAACAGTGATTTGAAGTTTTTCTATTGTTTTGTGGAAGGTTGATAGAAAATAGGATACTAGTGGAATTGGGAGACATAAGGAAATACCAGCTTTGTGTCTAGGGCTCCTTGCTATGCTTAACCATGTGTGTTTTCCCTGCTCTGATTGAAAAAGAAAAACCTAAAGTCATTCACTGTAGCCTGATCTTATAAGAGGCTTGCTACCTATCATTTCAGCATTATGGCCTTTGAGCCAGTTCATATTATGCAGGTGTTTATGGAATCAGTTTTGTTAGTGCGTAATGAATACAGTGTCCTGCCTCTTTTCCTGAAGAAGCAATAGTACTTATATTGCCAATATTTTCAATTAAATAAATCACTTTATTTTGTATTACTTTTGTAATAGGTTTTCCCCTCCTGCATTTTTCCTTTTTTCAGCATTCTGAAATAAAAGAAAAAGAAGTAGGAATGAAGAAGCATGAAGAAAATGAGGCCAAACTTACCATGCAGGTTACAGCATTAAATGAAAATTTAGGCACCGTGAAGAAGGAGTGGCAATCTAGTCAACGGAGGGTTAGTGAGCTCGAGAAACAAACGGATGACTTACGGGGTGAAATTGCGGTGTTAGAAGCAACGGTTCAGAATAATCAAGACGAAAGGAGAGCACTACTAGAAAGGTGATTGATGTCTAATAAAATTAGTTTATTTCCATTTTAAGTGATAGAAAGATTATCTTATTCCATATTTTTAAAAATAGAAGAATCTTGAGAAAAGTGCATAAACCCCTGCAGATATTTAAGTAGCCATTTAGAAATTAACCTTTGAGATAATCAGATAGTTGAAATTAATGTAGTATATTTAAGATTGCTAAAGTAGAGGTTTATCTATATTCTAGAAGGGTCTTTAAAAAATTATCTCTTTGCAATCTATTCCAGATGTCTTAAGGGAGAAGGTGAAATAGAAAAGCTTCAAACCAAAGTACTAGAATTACAAAGAAAGCTGGATAACACAACTGCAGCGGTACAGGAGCTAGGCAGAGAAAATCAGTCCCTTCAGGTAAGTCACCTGGTGACATAAGTCAGTTTCTTAGTCTAGAATTGACCTGTTAGTGAAAAGCATATTTTCAACTTTTAAAAAAAAATCTCATATGTTTTATAAATACTTTCAAATAGATACTGTGTAGCAGTAGTGTAGGTTTTATGGGTAATTAAATATAAAAGATAAAGAACTTTCAGAGACCTCAGAGATTAGTTAGAGCACCGTGTCATTCATGACTTGTCAGTACAGGGAAAGGATTGCAAAACTCAAGAATACCAAAGAACGTATGAGTCAGTATGTGTTAAAGATGTGATCCAAATATGTCCTCAGAGTCCTGAGGAAAAATTGATCAGTAGGGTTAGAATGGATGGGAAATCACCAAATGTTAGAAGTGCGTTTTAGGAATAAGATTCGATTTACTTTATTTTGTCATTTAGATTTATGAATATGTCTACTTTTGACAATAGAAGTTGATCAAAGTATTTCTGATTTTTAAGATTTTATACCCTGGGCATATAGTCCAATTTTTATACCACTCTGGCACCTAATTAGAAATAATCCATCAATCTTTAAAATGTTGAATATTATAATGTATTAAAACTTTTTTTTTTTTAAATAGATCAAACATACACAAGCGTTGAATAGAAAATGGGCTGAAGACAATGAAGTACAAAACTGTATGGCCTGTGGGAAAGGCTTTTCTGTAACAGTGAGACGGGTAAATGATTTTGTTCATATAGCTATAGTTCTGGATTTCATTTCTGAGTGACAATATTATAGCCATCAGAATCGTCTTGCCTTTGATAGATTTTTAAAAATTTTCCATTTATTGGTAAACTTTAATTTACGACTCCATAGCATAATTAAACTTCATATAATCTAGTTTCTGGTTAACAAGTGTTTGAATTTTAAATTCAGTCTTTGCCTTCCTACTGAGTTACTCTCTTTCTAAGCCACTGTGCCAGTATTCACCTCATATGCTTCAGTCATCATTGGGTTCTTTTAAAGGAAGGAAAAGCAGAGAGATTAAAAAAACACAGTTTAAATCATACCATCATGCTTTGACTCAAGTTTATATTCCTATTGAAGACATTATGCCTGAAGCATTTGACGGATAAGAATAGGTTTTCATTTAATAGGTAGGAGTACTTTCTTAGCACTTTTTAAATGCCTCCTAAGGCTCTTTTGAGAATTCAGTGATAAATTCCATGTAAAATGTTTAACATAGTATTGGATAAATAGGAAACATTCAATTTAACAAAGGGATTAAATTAATATATTGAAATATTATATCATTAAGTAATACACTAATCACTCAAAAAGTAATATTCCTTCTCAGTATAGTTTGTGATATTCATGTAGTTTTGTAATGCTTTTGGTATAGTTTTTATGCTTGAAATTGTTTAATTTTTGTCATTTACAGCATCACTGCCGACAGTGTGGAAATATCTTCTGTGCTGAGTGTTCAGCCAAAAATGCCTTAACTCCTTCCTCCAAGAAGCCTGTTCGTGTCTGTGATGCGTGTTTCAATGACTTGCAAGGATAATGGGCTATCGCAACTTCAGAGTAATATTACACTAACATTAGATTTTTAATAAATGTACTTAATAGAGGTCTTGGACTGCTATTTGATTTGGACACTGGTTGCAATACTAGACCAAATTAGAATTCGTATATTTTGGAATGTTATCAAGTAAAACTCTTCTATTTTTGTGAGACTTGGGCTCATCTTTCATTACTTTCTTCCATTTGGCCCCTGGAATAGCTTTCATGCCAAGTTTAGAATTAGCCAATGAAATGTAAATAAACTTTGGACAGAAAATAGCAATGTATTTTTTTAAATATAATTTCATTGTTTGCAAATGAAGAATACAATTCCATAGCTTACTTCTTTCTCCTAAATTTAATGTACAAAAATGTACATGGATGATGTTATCACTTGTTGCTGTTTTTTGTTGCACAATAACACATTAATTATATTATTCTCTTTGTGAAGTCATGCACAGAACTATAACACTTTCTGACTACCATTTTCTCTTAAATATAGGTCCATAGCTCACTTTCATTGTTATGTTATAAATTTAATACTTGGGTGTTCTAAATATAGTTTATCTTAAAATATGTATTAACCATGAATTCAAAAATGTTTTTTTATTTTAACAATATTGATTAAATTCTTTTGGGTAGATTTTTATGAAAACCTCTGTAAAATCAATTTGCTTAACTTATGGTTATATTGAGGTTATATTTTAAAGATTAGAGTTAATTTTTCTTTTTCTTTTTATCTTTTTCTATCTCCTTTTTAAACTCCTACATATTGTCCATTAAGAATCTTACAAAGCTTCCCACCCTCACCCTCAGTTGGAGGATGAATAATAGAACTTGTGTAATGTTCCTATTCTTGGTTTCTTGTAACTGGGAAGTCTTCTGAGATTAGCTTTCATGTCATACCCTTAAGTTATGTTGTCTCTCCAGCACCTTCAAGAATCTGAGTTTGCTTTTTAATGGATCTGCTTTTTACCTTTATTTGGTTTGACCTTCCCAAGCATAGCTCAACTTCACTGTAACTGTTTTATAATTTTGCATTGTAAAGCTAGTAACTAATATTACTGTAGTCTTATCTGTGAAAAGAAAATACAAAATGGTAAGAAGACATTAAATATTTTACTTTATATTTTCTTCTTATCTAATAGGGAAGAATTTTAAAAAGTTGTCAAACTGACAAATTTGAAATGGTTCTGAGTTTGAAGTTCCATATCAACTGGGAAATCTTTTAACTTTGCAAAAATAATGCTGTAAAATTACCTTTAAGTAACAGCTGGAGAATAGAGTATCACCAAAAAAACACATATTTAGGGATCCCAAAGTTATAATAAAAACTGACACAGAATGGCTAAGCACCTTAAGGATAATTAAGGATTAGCCTCTTTGTATGCTAAACAATGGAATTGAACTGTAATTTAGCATACATAGTCTTATTAATTTGGAAAATTGGAAAACATCTGAAGAGATAAGACATTAGTATTAGTTTATTACTCTTTCTAGAGAAGAAATGTAAAGTTATACATTCATTCGTTGTAATCATTTAATAATAGAGAAGAATGAGTTAATATTTCATTTATAATAAATAGTATATAATATACATTTGCTTTCAAATATGTTGAAATGAAATTATCATGTTTATGCCATACCTACAATGTATATAAACTGAAAGAGATTGCCAGATATTCATTTAATTATTTTTAAAAAACATTTAAGTAAACCCTGATGTCAGTAGCTATTAAGAGAACTGATTAAGTCCCAGGACTTGGATAAACATATATCCGTGAGCATATGTAATGAAGAAATACAATGTCTCTTTATGAAAAATAATGTTGGATAATATAAACTGAGCTATTTATGCATTTTTATATACCTATAAATCCAAATAGTCTTAATTCTCTACTTTTACATATAAATAACTTAATACATGTGCTGGAAAAACACAGATATTCACAGAACCACAGTTTATTTTTTTTAAGATAATAAAATGTCATGAGAATTCTGGATTAGAATATTTGTTCACTTCATCTCCTGGTTGGATGCACTGCAGGCCTTCTTCCTGCCCCCTCCTTCCCCTGAAAACAAATACAACCATGTGTGACTGAGTGATTTTCTCATTTTTATCTAACTAATTTCATTTCATAAGACCCAAATAATTTACCTACCATAGCCTAGTAAACTGATAATATAAACGAAACCTAACATTTTTGCTATTAACTCTTACCAATTTAATGTATTTTGGAAGCAAAATTAAAGTGTGTTTTTTCCTTTTAATTAAAATGTCCTCTTCTGAGTCTTTATTGGCTATCCATTTTAGATGTTTGCTGGTACTGTTATCTTGTGGGTGAGTTAGAGCTGGCATGTAGAGAGCCCCAGCTCTTGGCTTTAATGCAAAACATATTGGCATCATGTGTTGGTAAATTCCAAACCCCAGTATAGAAATGTGAGTTAAAATCAAGTCTTGCTGGTTTAGTGTACAATATGCCGTACCTATAGAATTTTTTTTTAATAGAAGACAAAGCTGCTGGTATAGGATTTGTTCATTTTTAAGAAAAAGAAGGAGGGAAACAAACACAAAAACCTCAATGCAGTATACAAATGACATTTTGTTGAACTACCTCTTAATGTGGAATTAGCTAGTTTAATAGTTTCCTCACAGTAATGTTAAATAGTAACTGCCAAATTTGTTATTTTCCCATCTCTCTTAAAAAATCTTTATGATTATTTTATATAGTTTTAAGAACTTTAAAGCCACTTTTTTTTTAACCTTGCATTTAAATAAAAATGTTTAGCTTTTAAGTGGAGAGCAAATTATGATCATATGTTTTGATATTCATGACCTATTTGACTATAGCAGTTTTTTTTTAAAAAATGCACTTTGGCTATAAACCATGGATGTTCTGATCCATAAGATTTAATGTGCCATCAATTTAGTATTCCTAGACATGAGCTTGATGAATGGTGTTCTATAATTATAATGTGCCACACATTATCCTGTCTTAATTGCCCTTTGCCTGAATTTTAATGATCAATTTGTTATTGTTGCAGATGTGAATATTGTGCATAAACTTACTAAATTTATGTAAATTGTATAAAATAGAATCAGGAGTCTCTAAATTCTTTCTGTGTAGAAGTAATGAATTTATTGTAACATGACCCAGTTATGTATATGACATTCTGTACTTCCTTGAACTGAATCATAGCTTTTGTAGATACTTTTGCATGGATATTTTCTCTTTTAGTTTTTAGTTTCATTATTTGTATTGTGTTTACTACTTGTGATCATGTAGTTGTGCCTTATTTTGTGAGAGAGTTTAGCCCAGTAAATAAATACTGTAATCTCTAAACTCAGTGATTGGAAGGTTACTAATTACAAATGTAACTGATAAATTACACGACAGCATTTAAATCTGTGTAAAGAACGATGGAAGGATCCTTATTGAATTGTTGCTTTTGTTTTTTTTAATATGTTAAAGATGATATTAAAAAAATTTCTTTCTAGTAAATGTATTCTGTGACTATAAATTATTTTGCCTGTTTAACAAAAGAGAGAACAAGACATTAACTATTTTGCATTAATTTATTTACAGTGTATTAGCACTTTGCACTTGGATATCGACAGTGGTTGTTTTAATGGTATTCAACTTAGTAATTAAGTTCCTGATCTCAGGAGAAACTGTTAATGCCATTTTGCTGTAGACATTCCCTTTTCATTCCATTCAATATTGTGAAGAAGTAACAAAAGTAAAAAGAAATATAAAAATATAT